CCCTCCAACTAAGTGAAATGTCCTTCTAGGGAACTGGCCCTCCCAACCAGGGGCCTGCTCAGCTCTTCACACACAAGGCCTGCCAGCACCCTGACCCCCACCTCCAGAGAAGGGGTGGCGCCTGGAGAGACCCCCCCACCCTTCCACTTATCTCTGCGGGGCCTGAATCACAGGCCTGTGGAAAGTTTTCAGCTGCCCCTCACCCCCACCCCCGCATTCTTGTGCGAGGATGTCATGGGGGAGGAGCCTGCGCCCAACGGGTGCCCCCCCACCCCACAGTCATTGTCTGGAGCTGAGAGTGAGCATTTGAGGTCACCTAAACAGGGGCCGCCTGGGGAAGGGGGCCGTCAGCGGAGGGGAGCTGGGAGGACAAGGGGGAGATGAGAAGGGCCGAAGCAGAGGCCGAAGCAGAGACCGCACACACCGCAGGCACATGGCTCCTAGGAGCTTCTCACCCAGGACTTTGCAGGCTGGGCTAAGCAAGATTCTGAGGACTAGCCTTGAGGCGCATGTGGACCCTCTCTCAGGAAGGGCTCTGAGGTCCCCCAACACTTCAGGTGCTTTCATGGGCTGCAAGTTCCATGCTAGAAACCAAGCATCCCCTCTGCGCGTGATGCCTTTCCTCGAACTCATGGGAAACTCAAGGCAGGAGCTGAGACGAGGTTCACCGGAGGTAGTGGCGGGGAAGTGCGGGGGACAACGCGGATTTCTCAACACCTAGCTTATCTCAGTAAGAGAGAAGGCTGAGTGGGCCTTGCAAAGGTCACCCGCATTCCTCAAATGCCCTGCCCCACAGCTACTTCCAGAAGGCGTCATCCAATGAAAGTTCACCTGGGTGTAGGTTTCCGCTGCCACAGGCCTGGCCCTGCCAAGCCGTAGCCTCCCCGAGCTCACTGATGCACAAGCCCCGTTCCCAGAATCAGAATGAACTGGTCTCTTTTCTAGGCTCATCTGTGTCTGTTCCCTCCACACAAGCCTGGGTCAAAAACTCCTCAGGTGAGTCTAATGCAAACCCTGGGTCCAATTCAATTACCTCTAATTATCAACGAGGAGTCTGAGGCCCAGAGAGGTTAAGTAACTTGCCTAAAGGACACACAGGGAATAACCGACAGAGGTGAACTAATTCCTGGGACTCTTTCACAGGGCTGATGCAGAGCAGATACTCAGGAACTCTTCGTGGGAACAGCCAAGAATAACAGCTATGCTTAAAAGTATGTGTCAGGCATTGACCTAAGCACTTTATGAGTATTAAGTCATTTGATTATCATAACCACCCTACAAGAGAGATACTAGAATCATCTCCATTTTACATAGGACGAAACCCAGGTACAGACAGGTTAAGCAAACAGCCTGAAGTCACACAAGCTAAACGGAAAGCTGGGATTTGAAGCCAGAATTTCTTTCTCTAGAATCCTTTCTCAATTCATTCTTTTTTTTTTTTTTTTGGGGGGGGTACTGGCAGGGGTGTGGGTAGATTGAATTCAGAGGCCACTGAGCCCCATCCCCAGCCCTATTTTGTATTTTATTTAGAGACAAGGTCTCACTGAGTTGCTTAGCACCTCACTTTTTGCTGAGGCGGCTTTGAACTCACAATCCTCCTGCCTCAGCCTCCCAAGCCGCTGGGATTCCAGGCCTATGCCACCGCTCGCCTGGCTTCAGTTCATTAATTCTTGATCATTAAGTTAGCCTCACCATAAATAAGGAAACTGCTGTTCACAAAGGCCATCCAACTTCCGCAAGAGAACCCCCACACGTCCCCCTCCCCTGACACCCAGGACCAGCACTCACCCTGACAGGCGTCCTCCACCTTCTCGTAGCCCTCCTGGCACAGGCACTGCCCAATGGGCACCAGCCACTCGCCATCCACCGCGCAGTGCATGCGGGGCTCTTCGCCCCCTGGCGGCACCACAGCATGGTCCACGCAGGTGCCGGCCACGGTGGCCAGGGAGGGTGCTTCGGAACCTGCGATGGTCTCGGGGAAGCGAGCCAGGCCCTGCAGCAGCTCGGGACACTTCTTGTAGTAGACGCGGACAGACAGCAGAGCCACGCAGGCACCGATGTCCTGGAAGGCCAGGTAGAAGCCCTTGCGTCTCAGCGGCCCCACGGAGCGCTCCTCCAAGTTCAGCTTCACGTTGCGCGCCTCGAAGTCGCTGCTGACCGTGATCTCATCGGGCGCGATGGTGTCGATCTTGGTGAACTGGCGCTTCTGGAAGTTGGTGCCGTAGTCCACGTCCGACTCGGCGTAGTAGAGGTTGAAGGTCTCCTTGCAGGAGCTGGCGCCACCGGGGAAGCTGTTGCAGTCGCGCACCGTGAACTTGAGCTCGATGAAGATGCGCTCCGCCTCGCCGCGGTACACCCAGTTGGTGCGCAGCCAGTTGTCCTGGTCGCCGGCCACCACGTTGCACACGGAGTACATGTAGATGGGCTTGTCGTCCATTATGCTCTGCATCAGGTCCCACTGTGGGGGGGTCAACAGGTCAGTGTGGGTGGCACCAGCGGGAAACTGAGGCCCAGGTGGCAGAGCAGGGTGGGGGAGGTGGTATTGTGGCCTGGAGAGCAGCACCCAGGAGCCCTCCGACCTTTCTGACCCTAATGTCAGGGTGCTGAACCTGAGATCATGAGACGAGGGTGGAACATGGGGCTCTGTGTGACTTCAGGCAGGTCACTTAAGCTCTCTGAGACTCAATGTCCCCATCTATATAATGGGGTGCAAGACCCCAAAATTCACAGGGCTGTTGTGAGGATAAATGACAGAATGTCTACAAAATGCCCAACACGGCACTTGGCATGGTAGCCTTCATTGCCTCATCACTGCTATTTGTCACTGGTCCCTGGTTGGGGGGGGGGTCCCTGTGTGTGAGTGGCAGGGGGAGGGTGGGATCAGGCAGTGGGTGAGCTCCCTCATCCTGATCTCAGCCCTGGAACAGATCAACATGCATTCCTCCCTCCTCAGAACAGAGCGCAGCCTTTTCCTGGAAGACCTCCCAGGCTGGGCCAAGCCCCTCTCTCTCTGGTTCCTACAGTCTCCATGTCTCCTTTGTCATAGCACCTGGCACACAGTGACGCCCACCCCAGCTCCAAGCTAGATTCTGAGCTCCTTGGAGCAGGGACTTCATCTAATTCATCTCTGTCCCCAGGGCCTCTGTGGCACAGAGCAGGTGCTCAGGGAAGTCTGAGTGACTGAGTAAATGAATAAAACAGAGCGGACGAGAACAGAGGCCGAGCCAGCACTGGGTGGCACTGGCCAAGGCCCCGAGGCCTTTAGGCTGTTTCCCATTCTGTTAGGACTGGGCTGGCTTAGAGGCTCTGCCTCCCGGCTGGACACTCCAGGACCCTAGAAATCCACTCAGAGCTACACCCCAGGCCTTGCTGGAGCTATGCCTGGGACAGGCACCCAGGTCACAGGTGAAACCAGCTGTAGGAACGGTGCCAAGGAGCCCCCTGAATCCCCCTGCCCACTCAGGGCGCCAGGACAAATTCAGCAGGAATCCACTGTACAGAGGAGGAAACGGGGTCCCTCAAGAGCAGCACCAGCATCTGCCCCAAGATCACAGGGCAGCCGGGCACAGCAGCACACACCGGTAATCCCGCTAGCTCGGGAGGCTGAGAGAGGAGGATCACTGAGCCAGCCTCAGCAACAGCAAGGCGCTAAGCAACTTAGCGAGACCCTGTCTCTAATAAAAATTCAAAATTTCGCTGGGGATGTGGTTCAGTGGTTGAGTGCCCCTGAGTTCAATCCCTGGTACCCCCCCCAAATATCACAGGAAAGTCACAAGCAAAACTGGGGAAGGGACCCTAGCCTCTGGGCCATCAATCTTGGTGAAAGAGGAGCAGCAGAGAGGCAGGACAGGCAGAAGGTGAATTGCTCCCTGTCCCTGGAGTTGTGGGGAGCCCTCCTCCTTCACCCCTCATCTCCTCATCTGCGATCTTCAAGACGGGGGAGTTGTCAACTCTTTCCCTCCCCAGAGGCAGATGGAGGAAGCCAAACATTCCCTCAGGTCATCAGCCCTTCTGGGGCATCCAAGGGTCCTGCTCTGCTAGCCCCCCGGCGTCTCCCCAGACCCCCACCTCCCGGCCCCTGCCCTACCTTCCCACCCCAGCCAGCCTTGGCCTGGGAGGGCAACTCAGTCGGATGCAGGAAGCAAGATGAGCTTGAAGCCTGGCCCAGCTGCTGAGTCCAGCCAGGCCCCATCCTCCCTGATCCCAGGAACCCAGAGCCCAGCTCTCACCCCGGGCCCAGCCCCGCTGGCTTACTTACCCCTTTGCCATAGGGATGTGTGAGCCAGCCAAGTTCTCCTTTTGCAGCCTCAAAATCCAACAGGACAACTGCGGGAGAGAGGGGAGGGAGCCGTGAGCACGGGGCGTCTCCAGGGGAGAGAAAGACCATGGCAGAAAAGGGGAGAGGCCTCCCAGGAACCCACAGGGGCCTTGACCTGAGAAGGGACAGGGCTGTGGAGGTCACACAGCAGGCCGGGGTCAGGACTGGGCCTCCTCTCTCCCAGGCCAGGGCTACAAGCCCTGCGGTCCTCTCAGGCAGACAGGGACTCAACCCAGCGGGAGAGTAGCAGCTGGGCAGAGCCAGGAGTGGGCAGGGGTATTAAGTAACACCCGGCCAGCCCCTCTGCTTCCTTGAACAAGGCCCCCAGGCAGCACTTCACACACGTGGGCCTTGGGGACACTGGTGTCTGCTTCTATGACATCCCCCAGCATAAAATTCCCAGACCCAGCCCAGGCCACACAGCACACACAAGCACACATGCATGAACACACGTGTCTCCTGGCGCTCCAAGAGAGCACAGTTAACAGGTGGAAACTGCTCTGGGGGAGGGGAGGGGCTGGAAATGGATCTTCCCACCACAAAAGCCACAGTGCAGGCGGGGTAAAGCCCTGAGCCCACAGGGGCCTCTAGGAGGGGCCCCAAGGTACACACAGCTGCTGAGGTCCCCGCCCTGGGAAAGTTGCTCCTGTTGCCACAGCCAGGAGTGCCAGGAGGAGAACCCTGGTGGGGGACTTCCAGGCCCAGAGGGACCAGGTGCCAGGGCCAGGCAGAGGGACCCACTGCTAGGGGCTTCCCTAGAGCCAGCCCTGCCCGGGAGCACCTCCCAGGAGCACCCTCTGGTTCTGCGCCAGAGTCAGTGGCTGAAGCCAAGACCCAAAGTACTGTCCCTTCTTTATTTCTAAATAAAGTCCAGGTAGTGCCACCAAGGGCCACCCTCAATAGAGGGCAAGGAGATTGGTGAAACTGAGGCTTAGAACCTATACAAGTGCCATGTACTGGAAGGTAAGGCCTAAAGTGGAGGGGAAGGGACCAAGGACACTTGCAGCCGGGAATCCTGAGGATCTGGCCTCCTCCAGCCCTGAGCCTGGGAGACCAGGGAGGCTGCGAGCCAGGTCACCTGTTTGGGAAGATGAGAGGTGAGTTGAACCCCTGGAGGCCCTGAGGGCAGCTGAAAACCTCTTCCTTGGGCTGGGAGTAGCTTAGCAGTAAAGCACAGTGCAAGGCCCTGGGTTCTATCCCCAGAAGTAATGAAAGGATAACAATATAAAATAAAAAAGGCCACCAGGCATTGTGAGTGCACCTTGTAATTCCAGCCACTCAGGAGGCTGAGGCAGGAGGATGGCAAGTTTGAGCCAAGCCTGGGGAACTTAGTAAGATCCTGTCTCAAATTTTTGAAAAAAAAGGAGCTGAGGATATAGCTCAGTGGTAAAGCACCCCTGGATTCAATCCCCAATACCACAAAAAGTAATGATGTGATAATAAATAAATAGCAAGCCATCCTCTGAGGTTAGCCTGCCCCCTCTGTCCTGCAGGCTGGAAGCTTGGTATGAGGCCCTGACCCCCTGACCGCTGACCTTGTTCAAATCTCTCTAGGAAGGGTCCAGCAGTCCAGACAGGGAAGAGGAAATCCATGTGGCACCAAGCCCCATGGCACAGGCGGGGGCAGGGGGAGGGACAGGGATTTGTTCAGACATGTCCAGGGCCCAGGTTTGGAAAGTCAGTGACTCCACTAGCAAGTGGAATGTCCTAGCTATACAGGAAGGAATCTGGGGGCTCCTGAATCCAACTGGGTAGGTAGGAAGACAAGGTGGGTGCTCCTGGGGCACACACACACACACTCAGTGGGCAAGAACCTGCAGTCTGCACCCCAGGGAGTGAGATTATGGCTCTGAAGGGTTAACCTGGCACAGAAGCCCCGCCCCTTCCAACCTGGCTCTAGAAGTATCTCAGGGATCAATCTGAGAAGAAAAGAAGCCTTCACCAGGAAGGAGCCTCCCCAGAGGCTTCCAGCCCCAGCCCCCTCCCAGAAAATTCCCTAGAACCAACCACCAGGAACAAGGGGAGCCCAGCCCATAGTTTGGAGCTGGCTGGGTTCCCTGAGCTCCCCCAGGCCATAAGCTGGGCTTCTAGTGGGGAGCCTAGGAGCTCTTTAGCCCCCTAGAGTTTCACTGAGAGGTTGGCCCAGTTGGGGCCTTACCCATTTACCCTCTATCCCCCCACTAACACCCCCGGAAGAACTGCCTTCCTCGACCTGAAGTTCCTCTATCAATGCCACCCTGGGTCCATATTGCTTTACTTATTTTCCCACAAATGCAGTACTTAACACCCACTCCCCCATTGCCCTCTCCCTGCTCACCCCTAAAGCCTAAGAAAGCAGGAGGCTAGGGTCCTGGAAGAAAAATAGGGAGGGAGTCAAAGGGTAGACAAAGAGCAGACAGGGCCCCAACAGAATTAAGAAGCCTAGGACTCCCCAGGCCCTGGGCATTGCTTGGCCCCCTTCCTATGGGCAACACTCCAGGTGAACAACGCTGGCCACCAGGATCCTGGGTTATGCTAGCTTTCCAGCAAAATCCACCAAGAGCAAGGTGAGAGATTCTTGCCCAGGTGCTGGGGTCTGACCCTCTGTGCAGAGGGCCCTGGTTGGCAAGCATCAGGCCTCCCTCAGTTTCCCCATCTGTAAAGGAGGGTCAACTCAATGGATGTGGAAGAGAGGACCTAGCAGTCTCCACCTGGGCCTCCAAATGCAAGGGTGGGGGCAAGAAAGAAAGAGAATCTGAGCAGCATGGGTGGACAGGCCCGGGTGGCCTCCTATCTCTCTCCAAACCTCCCCAGGGCAGACAGTGCATCCAGCTGAATCCAAATAAATGAATCCAGGGCTGGGGACCCAGCTTAATGGTAGAGTGCTTGCCTGCCTCGCATGCACAAGGCCCTGGGTCCAATTCCCAGCACCAAAAAGAAAAAAAAGAAAGGAAATCAAAACCAGCAGCTGCCAGCCGGGTGTTGACCCCGCTCCATCCCACATAGGCACAGCACCCCAGGAAGCTGCTCTCATGTCCCCCCACCCCAGTACAGTATGCTGTCCTTTCCCCTCCGTCTTATGTGGGGTGGTAATGGGGCTCTGGGCTAGCGGCATAGGCAGGGAGAGACACATACAGAGGCAGAGGGCAAGGAAGGGAGTTCCAAGCTCCCCCAGGGGTGGCTGGGGGTTGGGGCCCAAAACAACCGTTTAATCCCCCCACCCGCTGGCAGCCTGGAGAGAGGCCGGTACTGATTCCAGCTGTCTCTCCCCTTCCCTCCAACCACAGTCCCCCTGAAAGGGGGAGGATCTCAAGACAGGGCGTATGGAGGGTCGCAGAAATCCCTGCCGAGCTCTCCGCTAGAGCTCTGAGCTGCGACTAGAGTTCATGTCTGCCCTAGGGACTGGAACGGGATGTGACCCCCAAACACCCAACCACCCGCCCCCTAGAGCGCTGCTCCGTCCTCTTTATCCTCCCAACGTGGAAGAGCAAAACCTCCAGCTTGGAGGGGGAGCGACCGCAGGGCTCAAGGCAACTTCTCTCCGGCCCAGGATTTCCTCCGGGGCTTCCCCTGGTGGAGCCTGTGAGCCGCGCTCAGCCTTGGCAGGCGAGGAAAACTTGTTTTCTCTGCCGGGAAAGGCAGCCGATCGCGGCTGGGTGGTCAGGAAGGTCCTCGGTCAAGGGCAGGAGCCCCCATCCTTTCAGCGACCCTAGCTGAGAGGCGACGCCCCCATCCACACACCTGCCCCGCCCAGGACAAAGTCTGCGGCCCCTCACCCAGCGCGGCTCACAAACGCTGGGGCGGAGGTGGGTGATTCAATCCCCCACCCCCGTGTGTCCAGGTTCCCTGGTGGCTCTGGGGTGACGGCTCCACACCTTGAGAGACCGCGCCCCCACCTGCCGCATTTCCTCGTTCTGAGTCACCCCTTACTCAGAACACTTGACTTTGGGACTTCCTGTCTTCTCTCCCAGCTCCCCTGACCTGTCCTGGAGTTCGGAGTGCGGTTTGGGAAAGGAGAGAAGGGCGTGCGTGGTCAGGAGTGACCCCAGCCTCTCCCCGGGCTCACTGCTGGGACTGAGGCAAAACAGAGCATACAGAAAATCTCAACAAGCAGGACCTACGGCTAGGGCCCCCGGCCCGTGGAGGAGCCCCCTCCCCCCAAACCGGGCCTCCACAGATGCAAAATCGGGACAAGTGAGTTAAGTGAATTCAAGCCACTAAGAAGTTGATCCCACGGAAAGGCCCTCTAGACACCCGCTTCTCCATGGGACCCCCGCGCCCCCCGCCGGGACGCGTTCCTGAAGCCGGTTGCAACCGCGTGGCCCGCACTGCGTCCCTTTCTCCGAGGCCTCCAAGTCCCGCGCGCCGGAGCCGAAACCCCTAAGTCTCCATAGCCCCTATAATCCCGTTGAGGAGCCCCAGGCTCGTCCCGATCGCAGCTCGCGCGCCCTCCGGACGCCAGCGCGCCGAGACTGGGCAGCACCTGGTCCGTTTCCAAAGTTGTGCGCATTAGAGTACGCGCGGCTCCAGGAGGAGCAGGGGTCTAGGGGGCCCGGGGCCGGGCAGGGTCCGGCCTCACACGCTCACCTTCCTTGCCCTGAGCCGCCGCGGCCACCAACGCGCAGCCCCACAGCAGGGCGAGGCAGGCGCCGACTGTCCGGTGCTCCATGCTGCGCTCCTCGCTCCGGGACAGATCCCCGGCGCCCGGCTCCCGCACGCCCGCACGCGCGTACGCAGGCCTCGGAGTCCGGCTCGCGCCCGCCCGCTCGCCCGCCGGTGCGCAACTTCTGCCCCTCCTGCCCTGAGTCCTTAATGGAAGTTGGGTGAGAACCCGCTCCTGTTCATTCATGCCCCGCGCTGACGTCACCCAAGCCACGCCCTCAGGAATGTCTTTAAAGGGGCCGGGCTGGCATCCCGAGGGGAGGGAGGGAAAGTCCAGAGGGGTTTGGATAAGACTTTGGGGCCCTCTGGACTCACCGGCGCCCCCCAGGCGCTCCAGAGTTTGCGCGTCTCAAAGCATCAGCGCCCCCACGCGCTAGTCCCCAGGGATCTCGGAATCCAGGATGTTCGGCCCAAACGTGCGCTGAGCCGTCCCCGCTCTCGTCCTTTGCCTTTTGTGAGTGAACTCAACGTTGGCCTCAGTCTAGGCAGAAATGGGCCGGATGTCCAAGAAGTAGTTGCCTCCTTAGCATCAGTCCTGGGAGAGGAGGCCTGAAATAAACCGGATGCCTTCTATCTTGGGACCTCTGAAGGGTGCACCAGACCCTGGAAGGACAAGGAGAGTTCCTTTGTTCAGAAGCCTCTATGCTTACTGGGATCTAGGAGCAACCCTCTTCGGGGAACAGGTCAGACATGCCCTGATTTAATTCTCCTCTAGGAAGCAGCCATCATAGTCCACACTTTTTTAGAAGAGGAAAACTCAGGCTACAAGAGATTGTACCCCATGCCCGAAGCTTACATAACTCACAGGTAGTAGAAGCAAAGTTTGGATTTGGTGGCCTCCGCTTTAACCCCTGCTGCATTCTGGGAGGGTGGCTGAGCTTAACACCCTTCATTCCCTGACCCTGGCATGATCAAGTTGAAGTGTTCTGACACTTTGGAGGACTCCTGCCTCCTGCCTGTCCCTTCCAGGGGCCTCTCCTCAAAGGTCCCTCAGATGTGAGTTCACAACCTCCCCTCTTGATGGAAGTGGCGGAGGAACAAATGGGAAATGTCCTCTCAACTGACTGCCCAGCCAGGGGCCACCCACCCAGCCACCCCCAGATGCCTACTGCCTTGTCACCATTTGGCCAGTGTGAAAGGAACAGCTGCAGCTGGCCTGGTTTCCCCAGCTGCCCTCTGCTCACCTCCTCTCTGACCCCAGCCTCTCCTCAACTCCCACGGACCCCTCACCCAGCAGCCATGCTGGGCTACTCAGGTACCCAGGTCCTCCTGCCAGATGTGGACAGCTTGGTCTTGGCCTCTGCCCTTGCGAAGCGGGTCTGGACATCTCCCCTGGAGGGGGAGAGGAAGGGTTAATTACAGGTGTTGGGATTAATTAAAGCCTTTGATCAGGATGATGAGAGGGGAGCCTTGGGCTTCGGAGAGTGTGTGAGTGTCCATGAGAGGGAGTCCATGTGTGCGAGCGATTGTGTTTGAGTGTGGATGTGTATACATGTAAGTACTGATATGTGTGTGTGTGTAGAGACGTGTTGGCGAGTGTGTATGCATGTGTAAGTGTAGATACAAGTGTTGATTTATAAGTGTGTGTGAGAGTATGTGGCCATGAGAGGAACTGTATGTGTGTGTGAGTGTGTAAAGTTGTGTTTGACTGCTGGTGTGCTTGTGGATATGGATGCTGATGTACGTACGCGTATGAGAGGGTTTGTTCTGAGTGTGTTGTGTGAGTGTGCCCTGCACACAGTGATTGAGAACTCAGGCTTGGAAAGGCTACCTCTGCTCTCTGAGCCTCTGTCTGCTCTTTGGGAAGACGCTTATCTGGGAGAGTGACCGTGAAGATCAGATAAGGTCATGTGTGTAAGCCACACAGGCGGGATGTCAGAAAGCGCCAGTTCAATCTCAGCTGTCATTACTGGTACATGTGGTTCAGCAAAAGGAAGTCCCCTCTGGAGAGGGTGGTTCATGCGGTGCGCACAGGGTACGTGCATGGGCACGTGCGTGTGCGTAACATGTGGTATGGTGAGTGTTCTGCATGTTTACTGGGCTGGGGACACTGGCTTATGGAAGACTTCATAGGAGTTGTTTGTAAGATCCTGCTTGTATGGGCTCAGAGGTAGAACAATCACCTAGCATGTGTGAGGCACTGGGTTCCCTCCCCAGCACCACATTAAAAAAAAAAAAAAAGGCCCTGCTTGTACATGTGTTACATGCCATTTGCAGGTTCTATGTGTTGGATGTGTCCAGCCCCCCAAAGCCTGGACCCACCCATGCTGGTGTCAGGCAGGTCCCCATGGCTGTGGCTTGTGTGCCCAGCAGTATGTGTTGGCACTGAATGGTGCTCACTTAACAGCCTGGGACATGAGCCTGTGGGAAGGAAGATATGTGAGGTGGCAGGAGGGTGTGGGGTGGGGGAAGCTCCCTGGCCCTTAGTCACCCACTTGTTAACTCAGCCTTCTTCTTTTCCTGTCCCAAGTCAGTCTCTGGCTCTGAGTGACTGGATGCTAAGGAGGAAAGTTCTCCAGTGAGTGTTATAAAGCGGCATGGAAATGTGGTATTTACTGTGACATAATCAGCTCTAATGGAGATGGAATTACCTATAAAGGCCCCAAAGAGCCCTCAGGGCCTAAGAGCCACTGCAGCGGGCAAAGCTTTGGTACAGGCAGGTAGAATCTGAGCATATGTATGTGCGAAAGAGAGACAGAGAAGGAGAGGAGAGTGCACGCCTGCCTCATCTGCCCCTGCAGGTGCTCACCTCTGCTAGGACTTGGCTGGGCACAAACAGATTAGCAGGCTGAACGCTGGAGCCTTGGTCTCACCCACACCACCTTTGATCTGCGCCTGCCTTGGCCAAGAGCCAGACACTATCAGAAAAGATGACTGCAGCCAAAACTTATAAAGTGCTTACTGCGCAGCAGGCCCGGTTCTCAGCACTTCTCCCACACTGAACCCCTTGATTCTCATTACCCCTAAGAGGTGGGCATTGTTACTGTATGGGTTTTGCCAAGAAGCAACCTTGCTAGTGAAAGTTGTAGCTGGGATTCTAGTCTGGATCCAGCACACACCCTTGTGAGCATCTCTTTTGTCCTCTGTCTCTGAATTCTACAGAACCCAAATGGACGCCCCCTGCCCACTCTACAGTCTAGGGACCACCTCTTCAGAGAAACCCCAGGGATCGTGCCTGCCCCTGAGCCACAGGCTACATGCCAGTCAGGACTCGAGTCTCAGCCAAGTGAATTTTTCTTTGCCTTCTTGAGCCTCTGAACCGAACCTTATCCCTGACTCAACTGTGAAGATCCCTGGAGGCAGGGGATGAATCTCCCAGCCCTCTGTATTCCTGGCACTAGTCAGAATAGTGCCTCACTGGGTAGATGCTCACCTTCGATGATGACATTTTGAATCAGTTTCCTCCACTTACTTCAATCCATGTTTCTCGAAGGTCTGCTGTATGCCAAGCCACTCCATCTATGGGAACTCATTTAATCCTCCCAGCAGCCCTAGAGGAAAACCTAATATTGACCCCATTTTGGATAAAGTGGGGCTCAGAGAAGAGAACCAACTCACTTGAAGTTACATGACTCGTACAGCACAGAGATGGCACTAGAGGGTTAAGTGTGTTTTGCCCCAGAGCCAGGTCTGCCTGCTCCTTTTGAACACACCATGTGCTTTCATGCTTGAATGCCATTGTCCAAACTGTGCCCTCTCCCTGGATCCTCTTTCCATCAGAGCAGCTCCCATTCATTCTTCCAGACCTGCTTTGGTGGAGCACAGGAGGATGGAGCCCCAAAGTGTAGGAGAGTGCCTGGTCCATATTGTGCACCCAAGATAGTCTTGGCAAGTGGACGGATGGACCTGAATTCCAGCAGACCTGAATTCCACCATGTAACCAATTGTGTGACCTCAGCTGCACAGTCTGTAAAATGGGCAAGATAAAAATGGTTTCCACCCTCCAGGGATGCTGCTAGGATTACAGGAGATCATGTAGCTAATGCGCTTAGTTAGCACAGTGTCTGGCACTCAGTGATTGCATTAAATCTTAGCTATTGCTGCTTTTACAATCAAAAGTCACTTCTGAAAAGCCAACTGGGCTCCCTGGGGCCAAATAAATAGCTTCATCCCGCAACAAACTCTGCTCCCATAGTATCTTATAACTTCCTCCCCTTCAGGCAGGGAGCTCCTGGAGAAACAGAGGCTCCCTTTCCTCCATCTTGCTAGCCCCAGTGGTGCCTGACATACGGTTAGGTGCTCAGCAAACGTTTGCAGTTTGCGCGGGCACGCGGCGACTTTTGTGTTCAAAAGAACACATTCCGCAATTGCAGCAGCAAAATGCTGTCGCTGCAGCCAACACTTGGGAAGTGCTCACGACAGTTCTGCGCTGAACCCCTTTTCTCATTAACCCCCCCCAAGAGGTGGGCACTGGTTGCTCCACTTTCCAGGTGAGGTTTTGCTGAATAAAAGCTTTGCTCAGCACCGTGGGGTCCCCACTCCCAGAGATGAAGCGGTAAGAGGTGAGGATGGAGGGAACTTTAAATGTTCCAGGATTGGGGGGGGCGCGGGAGGAAACCCCTCGGTAATTGCGGGGCTTCCCCCACCCCTGCGCTGGATTAGAGGCTCCGCCGCTTCCTCTGAGGCTCGCTAGCGCTTCCTGGGCCCCTT